GCAACCGCTGAAAAGCCTACATTTGGCTACAGCATGGCAAGAAGGCTCCGAAATGGCGAAAAACTAGAAAACGAGTGAGGGGACACGCCTTTGGACAAGTTGTAGAAAAAAGAATTGCAAAAAATGCAATAAATTCAAGCCAAATAGCACTACAGATGATTACCTGTGACATATCCGACGGGTACGTTTGACGACAATGCTCTAAATGGACTCGTAGCAGAGTGACATCAGCACCCAATTCTTGAGCTCCAGCACCTTTAGCTCCTCCAGCCGATCCAACTGCTTGTGAAAGATAGTGCCTGAGACGAGTCATGTCCACCTGAAATGATTTTTTTATTGATGCTAGAACGTGTTTCAAAAGAAAAGGCTCTATAAAATCGCTGCAGACTTTAACTTACAAACTCCATCTGAGTGGTTTTTCGCAAGTCCTCCAAAATCTCATTTTTATCACGCTCGAATGATGGAATGACGCCAAGATCACGATTGTCCGTCAGCGAATCCCATTCTAAACTAAACATACATCAAATGGTAACGTGAGATAGGAGTTCACAATATTTTCAAGTGGATAAAAATGCGCTTTTTAGAAAAATCTCTCCTAAGCAGAAAAAAACCCCACCGATAGTATCATCGCTGCCATGAAGCGTATTCAGTGCTTCATCAAGATTGTCAATAGCGAATAATGCGGACAAATATCTATGCAACTCATTAGCCGCAACAGACTGTAATTAGCTTCTTTGACATAAACTTCTGATAACGTACAATAAACTCACCATCGCCGATTTTCTCATTTTCTCGGCTAATGACACCAGATTCGGAACTTGCATGAACGCACCATTACGATAAGCTCCTATCAAGGCTTCGCTGATCTTTGAATGTGCATTATAAATATAATCCGACAATAACAAAAAACTATGCACATTCATTACCTCTTTCTCTGCTTGCTCGTATACTTCCACCATTTCCGTGTAATGAACTATGCCGACATTAAACCTGAAACGGAAACAAAGTGACCAACAGAACAACCCTTCGCTGGAAAAGCTGTTCTATGATTTGCGAGTAAAATCAGGAAAAAATATTGTGCGATACTTCAAACCTGCCGCAGAATTCAGGCATAGGAAACATGATATAACCAAGAGTGTCTCGTTGAACTGACTTGATATCGAGAGCACGAGTAAGGGCTACCATTCGATACATACAACCTAAATGCTGTTTTTCTCATGAGCATTCTTCAACAATAAGATCATCAGAACTATTCACCTATATGAGCGTAGGCTCGACAAAGAACTAGTTTGCAGAAAGGATCGGTAGGATAATCGTTAGATGTCCATTCTAACAACAAAATCATTTCGTAGAAAGACTGCCAATCATCTGGAATTCGAACATACATTGTGAGAAACAGCACATTGTAAGGGTAAGTGTATACAAGCGCGAAATGAAACAGCCTACTAAAGCAAGTGAGTATGTTATATGAAGAACAACGAAAAGCACTTACCATGAGCTTTCCATTCATTCCACAGTATAGCAGCTGCTAACTGAGCTAAAGCTGTACCCGCCAATTGCTCCCTATTTGGCTAAAAGAAAGAAAGCGATCGTCAAAGTAATCAAAAGGTTCCAATGGTAGTTGCTGCGCAAACCTGCAGAATTCCTCGTATTATCAATTGCACATGCTTCCGTCTGTCTTCTCTCGGCATTCGGTCAATGCTTCCGATGGTTCTACGAAGCCTCTCATTCATAATAACTGCCCAACAGTTAGCATCCTATAAGAAAGCTTGATACTGAAGGGTGCAAATTAGCATGTGAGGTATTCTTCCATTTCAGGCGTGAAACAACTGCAGCTTTTTTGTATATCATCATCAAAACGTAGACTAAGATTTTAGAGTTGAATTGTCCACAGGTAAACAGTACTGAATCCAAAGCAGAGCCCCACACAGATCGTATGAAAGCAGGCTGGACTTCGTTTTTAGGGCGAAAAAGCAGAAGGGATATCGTTTTCGTGGCCAAAAATGCAGCGTTTTTT